GCCCGGTGGATCCTGCATCGGCCAAGTCTGTGCTGTCGAAAAAAACCACCTCTTCCAAGAGATGGGCTCCCACATCTGATGATGACGAGATGGTGTCAGGGACAGCTCCGAAAGCGACGAGGTCCCTGCACGTGGGACTCGGTGGGATGGATAGTGGCTGTGCGTAGCGGCGATCCCATCATGGGGTGAGCATCCCCAACCACTTAGGCTGAAGTGGGAAGTTGAGAAGAAGGCTGCTTCTTCTGTTCCCACCCCAGGCACTATTATATACATGTGGCTAGGGTCACGTGGAGGAAGCCATGTCATCTCCGCACACAGCCGTACCTTCCTGGGTGTCTCTGCAGGAGATCCCAGAGGTGGCCGCTCAGTAGGTGGGAGTGTGCGCGGCACGTGCGGCGGTCAGGGGGGTGGGGTTAGGTATGTAGTAGTACATGAAGAAAGGGAAATCGACCATAGAATAGAAATAGAAATAGAGATAGAGAGAAGGGGGAAAATGGGGGAGGAGAGACAGGGAGTGATAATGGGGTGGTGCAGTACGGCGCGTGCGGCATGGGGTCAGCCCCACCGACATATTGTTGATCGGTGGCCCTTCCTACCCGCTTCTACAACATTGACCATGTCGACAGAATCGAATTCCCAGACGCGGCTGTGCTCCTCCACAACAAAGAACCTAAGTGGTTCAAGTTGGTTTGAAACTACATACACACCGAAGAAGGTGTGAGATTCTACGCTACAATGTACCATCTTGCTTGGTTGTTCAAGATGGGCAAGCCCTTGCAAGAGGACGTCAACACCTGTACCGACTGGTACAGGGTGGCTACAAATAACTGCACCTCACAAATGTGTATGTTGCGCGACGACATTGAGATGGAAGCAAAAAGACTTCCCGACCAGTAACCCCCAGCTCGGATTGCACAGATGTACATCCTCGCATGTCGATGGATAAAGCCAATGACCGATGACACTCGTGAGCGTCGTAAAATTCAACATCAGGAACAAGCACTTATGTACTCGAACCCTCCCCCAACATCATACTCAAACCCACCTATGATGTATGTGAGCCCACACCCTGTGGTGTATTTGAACGCCCCACCTCCACCACAGTACGCCCCTCCGACGTATGCACACTCATCGGTGTACGAATCCGCCCATGCACCACCAGTGCATGGGCGTGCTCCCTCCACCCCCCATGGATGCAACCATCCTGTGCACCATGCCCATTACTTGCACCATCATCAAGACGAGGATTCGTCCATGAATGACGCTGACGTTGAGACTTGTCACTATGACAACAACTACCTCAGCGATGATGTCACTGTCGACACAGCAAGGTCCATGATGACTCATAGGACCACATCGAATCACCCATCCAGCTCTGGCCCATCCAGGTCCACACTGTGTAAACAGATGAGGAACTGATCCCCTCATATCCCTACCTTTGTCAATGACAATGCCATCGTTGATTACTCACCTTTGTCAATGACAGAGCCATCATTGATTATTAACTTCTTACTTTTGTCAATGACAATGCTGTCATTGATTATCTGTGTTGTACCTTTCCTCTTTCGTCAACAACAACATCGTTGATTATTCACTTTCCTCTTCATCGACAACCTCCACTGTCAACATCATCACTGTCAACATCATCACTGTCAACGATGGTATTCAATGCACTCACAACGACGAGAAAGTGTCAGGGCATGCCCCGCCCGACCCTCGCTCCGCTCCCCCGCTCTGCACCGCTTCTCCCTCTTCCTTTCTTTCTTTCTTTCTTTCTTTCTCACATGGACCACCTTTCCCGCTGCTCAATGTATCACCGGCGCACATGCCCATTTCCCCTCCTGTATCTCACCGTTCCTATATCACTGCCACCGCCGCCGCACTCACCCTGCCCCGCACCCACAGCGGACCCTCTCGGGATCTCCCGTGGAGGCACCCGGAGAGCCATGGCTGTGTGTGAGGGTGACATGGCGCGCCCCACGTGACTGATCCCACATGTATATAATAACAGCTGGAGTGGGAACCGAAGAAGTAGCCTTCTTCTCACATTCCCACTTCAGGCAAGTAGTGTAGCCTTCCCTTTTAATAATAACTCACATTCCCACTTCAGACTAAGTGGTTGGGGACGCTCACCCCGCAATGAGATTGCTGCTACGCACAGCCGCTACTCGTCCCACTGAGTCCCACACACCGGGACCTCGCCGCTTTCGGAGCTGTCCCTGACAGAAAGTCGTGTCATCGTCAACAACTCTGTCATCGAGATCTGGGTGCATATGTTCCAGGAGAAACTCTAAGTGGGCTTCGCCTACAAACTACTATTATAGCCTCCTGCAATGAGTGTGCCCCCATTTGCATACATCTTTCATATGTAGAACATTAAAATTTTATTTCTTTAAAAATGCTTGTTTTCCCCTTGTGTATATATGCTTGTACCCTGTCTGTGATTTAATATTGCAAGGGAGGAGGATGTGAGGCCCCGGCCCATATCTATATTCCACCCACAACATCAATTGATGTTGTGTTGTCTGATATATATGTCATGACGCTAATATAGCGTCGTGGAAGCTTCTCTATTTATTTGTGCCAAGAATGCAAAAGAATGTATATAAACCCTCAGGGTAGCTGTAAAGGGCAGATCAGCCTTTACTTCTACCCCATTAATATACAGCCCATCAAAGTGTATACTTAGATGGACCAACTGAGGCCTGAGGCAAATGGGGGAACAGAACATACCATCCCCAAAACAAGTAAGATCCCTTTCAATAGGCCCCTTTAAAATCCTTAAGGTCATATCCCCTGCCACTGTCAAACTCCAACTCTCAGCATGGCAAAGGGAGTCCACCCAGTGGTGTCAGTAACAAATGTCTGACCCTACTGCCCAGACAAGATTGCCAAACAACCTGCTGACCCCTCACCCAGGCCCCAAGATCATAGATGGAGGAGAAGAGTACAATGTTGAGAAGATCCTCAACTCCTGCTGGCACCGCAGAAAGCTCTGGTATCTGGTGAAGTTTATGGGCTGGCCAAACTCTGAGAATGAATGGCTCCCTCATGATAACCTGGCCAATGCATTCCACAGAGCACACCTGGGCACCCAGGGAGAGAAAACCCCCTAGCCACTTCAAGGTGATGCAGCTTAAGGGGGGGGTGATGTCAGGGCATGCCACACTGCACCACACCATCCCTTCTTTCTTCCTTTCTTTCTTTCATTCTTTCTCTCTTTCTTTCTTTATATGGATGACTCCCCTTTCCTCACATTTGTAGCACAGACATGTCCAATGCCAGTGTCATATCCATCCACAGCCATCACCTTCCACCACCTCTGGTCCTTCTGGATTGCCTCTGCTCCTTCATTTGCCTGCCCTGCAAGTCTACCTTCAGGCCGATCCCTCCATTCCACTTCTGGGTTATAACCTGTTAGTCTGTTAAACCCCATAACCCAAGTCATTGATAATACTCAGTCAGCTAACCCATAACTCTGTTACCTCCACTCTGCCTGGCCCTGCCATTTACAGGCCTGCCTTCTAGACTCCCTCTGTAACTATATATAGGTAACCGATAGATACATTACACCTCAGTGATAAAATCAACTAGAGTTTTCCCCCTCTTCTAGAGTCCCCTCTTGTTCCGTAAATTAGGGCACCAATGTGTTACTAGGCACAGCACTCTGGCATAAGTCACTGAGGCTGAAGCCCTCCGTTCACAGGGATGTCATTGTTGATCCCAAACCTGGTCTCTGACAGCCAGGAACCCTGCACAGGTACCATGCTGTGCATTCCTACTTGTATCCCTCCTTCTTAACACTCAGGATCATCCACAGAACCACCTGCAAAGGCTCAGCTCCACACAAGGTTGATGTGGCACTTCCACATGACCTGATCTCACCTGTATATAAACTGAGCCAAAGCAGAACCAAAGAAGCAGCCTTCTTCTCATTTCTGCTTCAGGCAAGTAGTTTAGCTTTTCACTTTAATGACCATGCACTTCTGCTTCAGCCTAAGAAGCCACACAGGGATGCAAGCCTGAGTGAGGGCTGTCCACTATATGTTCCCACCACCCTACCGCCATCTGGGCTGCTAGTGCTGAGCGCTACACCGCTACCCCCACCTCTTTTGAGCTGTCCCTGACACCTACCTCCACTCATTTTAATTACTCCTTGCAATATTCTGGACTATGACTTCCAAGTTCCAGACCTTTCTGGACATTTTCCTCATAGTACTTGTGGACAGACTTAACCTCTGTTATTCAGTTGTTTCACCATTTTCCCACTCCACACCTCTCAGACATAATTTGGGCTTTTTGCCTAAAACCCATTTGTCCTGTGGAGTCATCTATCATTCACTTCTGCTTCCCCTTAGTAATGCTTGGTTACCTTTGGACTCAAATATTCTCTTGTAAACTTCCCAGTGAATAGTAGGGTTCCTAGCAGATCAGATCTGGATCAGAATCCATGGATTTTTAGAGGTTTGAAACAAAAACTGTATCCAGTGGTTAGAAATCTGCAGATATGCAGATTGACTGCAGATTATGAAATTGTGTTTTGTTAGAATGGCCCTGATGAGAGCTTTCTAACAATACCAAATATGTCCATATTGGTGGAGAACTGACAAAGATATGGGGAAATGGCACAAAAGATGGGTGTCAAATGCCAGATTTGGAAATAACAGGCCTTGGCGGTTAGATAGGACTTCTCCAAGTCACTGAAGCCGAGTCCCTTCAACACCCCCGGAGCTCCACCCCACCTCTGGCTGGTCTCCGACCCACTGTCAGATGACCCAGAACTTCAAGCTCCACACAACACCCACCTTGGAAGCCTTGGACAGCTTCCGGGAATGGTCTGTGACAATGACACAAATGACCAGTATTCCCCCCAGAGCTTGTGCAGTTCTCTCTGTAAATTAAGAGTCACACACCATCATTTTTCAGTGTAGGCACAGCACTCCACTCCAAGTCACTGAGGCCAAGGCTCTTCCACCCACACTCTCACTCCACTCTTCATTCTGGGCTACATCCTCACACCACTGTGTGTGTTTAACAAATATAACAAAACACACATAAGTTAATACAACAAAGTACAAGTGAGAATATAATGAATGATGTGCAGCATAAATACTTTACATCCTCCTTTGCAATATATAATATCACATGTAGGAAAGATAGGAAATGAAGGGACTTGTTGGAGTGCTACAGTTTCCACAAAAAACAAAAAACAACATTTTGTTACACCCACTGAGGCTTCAAAGTACATCCGTTGCTTCATTGCTGATCACCACCATTCATTGATGTCAGCAACTTCTTCATCCTTCATATTCTCACCCTGCAAACAAACATTAAGAATAAACAAGAATACAAAGGCTCATGATTTCCGCAACCTACCTCTACCTCTGTCCTTTCTACACCAAGGCAACGTCGCTTCACTCCACCCTCCATTAAAGGTTGAGGTGACACCCGTTTCCTTCCCACTGCATCCATCCTCTGGCTGGTTGTAGCTGACAGTCCGTCCGAGCGTGGCACCGGTTGCACCGGACGGAAGCGGATGTCAACATGATGATCCATGAATGTTTCATGATGATGGTCAAGGATAAATTGGAGGATCAAGCGCTGGAACGCCTCATTAATGTACTCTGGGTCATTTCGTACATCTGATTCTGGAAGCCAATGTCTGTCAACAATAAGAATGGCAGCGAGCTTGCTGATCAAAGTGTGTAAGGGTTTGTACGTTGAATGGGTGATGTCAAGACCTCTCGCCAGTGACGTGACCAAAGCACCACGGTGGTTGGCAGCCCCTATTAATGAAGTCCAGGTAGCTGGGTCGACATATTCAGTTGGGCCTTGCCTTTGCAGAGGCTGCACGACCATAGCCCAGTAAACAAGGAGCCAAAAGACGGATTCCGCATCATGATCAAGTTCGTGCCTCCAATCGTGACCACCACCTGCCGCTAACGGACCCTCAACCACAAGTTTCTCTATCAACGGGAATTTCTTGATTCGGTCCGGGTGGTTCAAAGTATAGATTTCGGGGCTATTGGGTACTGCCGGAACCTGTGCGATGTCTGCAAGTGACACAGGTCCTCCCATTTCAACTGCCCGAGAGATGAAGATAGGTGTTCCCTGGTAAAATTGCGAGTGAGGGTAAATCAGATGAAGATGAGGTAACTCACGGTTCGTTCGGTTCGCTGGTGCTCAGAACCCTGTTTGTTTCCCAAATGTTCCGCATTATTGAAATCGATCAGGAGTGCCGACGTTTGGCAGGGATCATTACTATTTCCAATCTTTGTTAGCAACTGTCCAATTTCAGCGTGTGTGTACATACCTCTCGCGAAGTAGGTACTTGATGAAGCAAAGCGGCAACTCTTTTGATGCCGTCGCTTCGGCTCCGACAGACTGAGTATCCGGCTCGGGGCTTGACGGCTCCTGGGTATACAAAACATTTCCTCCGCTGATATCACGATGAAGGACCTGACGGTGGAAACGCATATATCGTAACACTTCCAAGCATGTAAGCTTGTGGAGTATTGCCAACAGAGATTAAAGTACCTTCCAGAACGTCAAACAGCGTCTCCAACACTTTACGCGGAGTAGGGATACTTGTGAAAGGCAATCCTGATTGCCGAAGCCCCAAGCGGTGCTTGTTTCTTCCCATAAGATAAGGGATTTCAATCGTCTCATGGTACACGGCTTCCACAACACCAGGCACCCTCTCCGGCTTATGAATGTGGGTGAGGATTGTCTGTTCGTCGAAACGAGTTCCAGTTCGGCATAGCTGTTCTTTGAGCACGGTGAGAGCTTTGCCTTCGACCTCGAATTGGAACGATGAATTGGAGAGCACATGTGTACGTGTTCCGAAAGGATTACTAGAAAATATCGGAGAGAAGTCCAACACGTGTGCACCCCGATCTCGAGTTGTCACCTGAAGATTGATACGCCAACTATAGTTCCTAGTGGTTTCCTTTGGATCAACAACAAACGGCCCGCTATATGACGGGTCCGCAAAATTGTCGGGTTTGTAGAGGCGATAGATGAACGCATATAATGATTTGTAAAGGTCGTTGTGGTTCCAAGGGAGACAAAACCTGCGTATGCCATCCCCCGCAATCCCTAAAAGGAATACGATGCCAGCCTTGGAGGTGAGTAAGCCTGGTGCGACATAGAGATCGGGTCGTGCCAGAAGAAGGTAATGCAAGTACGAAATCGCGTTTTGCTTCTGTTCATCTTTGGACTTTCCTGTGGACGCCTGCTCTCCGGCGAGTCGGGCGCATGACCAGTGTACGGTACCGTCCTCTAGCCAATCACTCTCGAAAGCAGCGGTAATATCGGGCCTACACCTCGTGTCCGATACATGTCCGTGGTGTGTTTTGTTTCCCGTGTCTTTGAACACCAAGAGACCTTGCTCGTTTGCAACATCTAAAGTGAGAATCATATGTTGGCCGAAAAAGCGAAATACAGAAAGTGTGGTGCTCACGCTGTCTCATGGAATTGGCCAAGTCATTGGCCGCGTCAAGAAAGCGCAGAACGGAGAGGTTACGAGCTGATTCAGGAACCTCAGATGGGAGAAGGCCATCGTTAACACCCAAGAATTGGAGAAAGGCCTCTGTCGTCCTGAAAGGCACCGTGTGAAGGTTCTTGTGGTAGCCGAAAGCTTGGACCTGATCGCGTTTATGGGCGACAAAATAGTTGGGAAGTTTGGCTACAGGAGACGACCCAACCGAGATGGATGTCCCATGTGGAGGTGTATGCATGCCTGAATCGGGCGGGGGAGTGGCAGAAGACATGGTCGTTGGAACGGCTTCCGCAGGACACACACACCTCGAGACTTTCACTGATGGGCAGTCGGTCGTTCAGTTGGCTGGCTCCCACACTCACGTGAGACCAAAGCCAGTTGGCCTTAGTACAGCCACCAAGCCGCAAGTTGCAAGGATTCATTCGGGAAATGCCGAACCCCATGATAGTCTGACTATTGGGGGTCGGCAACAAGGCTGTGACCTTGTGACGCTTACATAAGCGAAACATGGCTCGATCGTGGCCGCGCCGTCCCCCCTCTCCCAAGACCTCATCTTTAGGTTGCAAGCTATGTTAACTCAGGGAACAATAATACAATATCGATCGGTGGTTATCTACATGCGAAAATGAATACATAAATGATTTTTTGAGCCATGTGTGATCTAAGCACAATCTGCATCCGATGAGCAGCCTTTGTCAGGTTTGTTTTGTCTTTCCGCAAGCGATTAATTGTCCCCCCCCAAAGAATTGGAAAGGTAAATATGCTTTGTCTGTGTAGGTGCTGGGAGGGACATTTGGATTGGATGGTGATAGCAGCTCAGCAGTGGCATCAGCAAACCTCCCATGTCGATTGCCGCGCTATATATCACTTCTATTGCACAATCAATTCTAGAGGGTACCCTGATATATAGATGTCATATCAATTCTATTTCAATGCCGATAGTAATGGTTGTGGTGCTATCACAATCAGCTCAAGTGGACACAGATGACATTTTGGTTTCGAGTACAGTCATTCACCCCCCAATGGTGCGGATTTCACTAATCCGGGCCTCAGTGTAACGAAGTTCCATGAAAAAAATTGATAAATTTGAATAACATGAAGAACGTAAATATGAATCAGTGGCTGGCAATATTTTGAGTGGAGTCCTGTCATGAAGTGAGTACAGGAGTGAGTATGAAATGGGCGCTTTCACCCCTCAGTGGTATCCTGTGACAGAGTGTGACAGTGCGTTCGCACGCTCATGTTGGACCCCCGCTGACCCCATCAGCCACTTGTTCAGCACACCCTGGCACCTCCGGCATTGCAGGGGGCTTGTTCTGCTGGAGCTGTGGATAATTCTGAGCCATCCAACCCCTCATTCGGATTTCCAATGGCTTTGCCGGCACTCTTTGTTTGAGCGCAACTAAGCGCACTTTTTCCTCTCACCATTTCGCCACCTCTGCTTTCTGTGTCTCATTGAACTTTCTCCATCCCTCCTTGGCCTCCTCCTTCAGCTTCTCCAGCTCGGCCTCATCCAGCCTCCATTGAGTGCGCTCAGCTTGATCCCTCAGATAACCTTCATGTGTCACAACGTGGCTGAACGTTCCCTTGATACGTCCACCTTCCTCCCAATGCCAACTGGGCATTTGCTGCATCCACCACATTAACGGCTCTTTCTACCAGTGTCTTTGCCTTCCAAAACTCGTGTCACATTTCGTCGATCTCCTTCATCAATTCAGGGTGAGTCTTGTGCTCTGAGTTGTGATCATGTATCAGATCCCAATTGATAGGAGGAAGATCGCTGAGGTGCCCATATGCGCGTTCGGGTAGTTTAAAGGTTGAACAAAGAGGTGAGGAAGATACGATAGAATTTGAGGATGAGGAGAATGACATGATATGTTCCAGGTCATCAACAGCGCGCTTCTTTGCCCGAGAGTAGGAAGGAGGGAAGGTAGGAGTTTGACAACAAGCGTTGACTGTTGCAGCATCTGAGCCAGAAGGTTGCGGTGGCGTGCGGACATGTGTTGTCTGAGACACAGCAAACAATAAGGGATTAATGATCGGTCTGTCACACTCATTATTATCCACTTCGCTGTATGTTCCATCATGACCCCCTAGGTACATCTGAACATCCTGCGAGTCATCCATCGGTGAGGGGGTATCATCGTGCTGGTACACACGGGCCATCAGCTGACCATGAAAGTGCATAATGCGCTTAACAGGTGAGGTCACAGGGAGGGGAAGGTCTCCCCAGGTGGAATGTTCAATGCTTGGAGCAAGTTGTTCAGGGTGGATGACGGATGGATTAACAGGGTAGACACCAGTCACTTGGAAACTGGTGATAATGTGAGTTGAGTTCATGGCCTCCATCCATGTGTGGCCAAAGACCGATAAGAATGATGATTTGTTCAGTTTTTTGGGGTAATTCTGCAAGTTGAATGCGTCCCATTGTTTAGAGAAGCTCCGCTTCAAGAGGGAGAATATGATGACATTGAGTCCTTGAAGGACATGAGTTGTGTGTGCAGGATAACATATAACGATGATATTGTGGTTGCGTGCATAGGTTATAAAGTCAAGGCTGTAGTGCAAGTTATGTCCATCCACTATGAGAAGATGGGGGTGGCCAGCGGCTTTTCCCTGTGTAGCAGCATTAAGAGTTTGAAGCCAATCAAGGCCAATTTCATTGTCTGTCCACCCTTTCTCTGAAACAGTGACCCTATAAAGTGGAAGTATAAGCATGTGCAGTGATATTATGGATAAGAAACTCATGCAGCCTCCAAAGGATTGTCCTTCAACCACTTGGAGTTCACATTCTGCCCTTTAAAGATGATGACTGGAGGCACTGAAGTGCCATCTGCACAGACAGTTACAATCACGCTCACATTCTGGTGGTTCCCATCATGTTGAATGTGTGCTATTTTTGTCATCTTGCGTGCAATGACTTTGGCCTTTTGTCCTGTCCCAAATGGGAAGCCACTTTCATCCATTGCATAGATATCCTCACGTCTAAATTTGAAATGGTCATACTGAGCTTGTAACAGCTGGAACCAGTGTCGCACAGCTGCAGGATTTACAGCACCACCCTGAATACTTTCAAGGTTGGTACTCCACTTGGCATCAAGTCGGTTTTTGTTGCGTACTAGAAAGCCATCAACCCAATTTTTACCGAGCCCAGTAAGGTTTGGGTGGCGTATCTGGGCAACTTCCAAGGCATATTCCTTCACACAATCACGGGTAGCAGGGAATCCACGGTCAGACATAAGGAGAAGGAATTCCACCAGGGTGTCACTCTCAATCTGATTCAGCCACAACCGGTTTATTGAGGCCTTGAGCCGACTTTTCCCACCACTCAGCCTCCGCATGAATGTAGAATAGGAAACATCACAATTAGAAGCATGTTCCCTGGTGCTGGGAGCTTTTTTGTGATTTTGTGTTGCATCCAGGACCTGAGATCTATATGAAATGATGGTGTTCCACATGTGCAGCTCTGCTGCCTCAGCTGCAAGCTGCCTATGGCGCTCCAAAGAGTTGGCATGCCGGACCATTTGTCAAAAGAAGCAAGCAAAGCAATATTGGGGTCGGGGGATGTGGGAATGGTGATTTAATTTACAGATTGTTTGGGTAACGGATGAAAACATGCTTCCGACTTAGGTTCCATGTCTCATCAAAACAAACAAATACTGGCACGTGTAACACTGGCCTTTTGCTCACTAGCTGTCTGGCTAGCTATTGGTAAGATGAAGAGAGCAATGAAACTGGAGTGGTTAAGTTGCAAGCATGGCGACTCCTCACACCCAAGTTCCCTATGTTTCCTCGATTTTTTCCTTTACTTCTCGCCCGCTTGACATCAAACTCGGTACATAAGTAGTCCTAGCAACGACTTATATACATGCCAAATCTCATCACAAAGGGTGGGGGGCTCGGAAGTTATGTGGTGATTTATCATTGGGGGGTGTGTCTCATTGAGGGGTGTGTCTCATTGAGGGGTGAATGACTGTAGTAAATAAATCAACACAAAAGTGAGAAACAAGTTAAAGGCCAAATTTACCAAGTTTTGCGCATGTCATAGTTTCCCTTCCCACTAATTGGACACCACCTCTCCATGTGTGCTGTCAATCTGTAGCATAGCCCTGATGCTAGAATAGATACATGTCAGCTTGGCATAGTAACTTCATCTGTTTAGTCTCACCTTAAGTCCCTCTTTACAATGCAAGTGTAGCCACTCAGCGCTATGTCCATAAGGCTAGCCTAATCAACATGAAAAGATGTCAGGCACAGGATTACTGTTAGAGCCACTGCAATAGCACTGCCAGGATGAGGATATGGGTTTGTCGGGATTTTGGGGTGGAGTCATACACATGTTGGGAGGGCATTCAACTTGGTATCTGAAGGAGAGATTGGAAGGCAGATGCTGCACTCACTAATATGGTGCTGCTCCCATGCCTGCTCAATGTCTTGAAGTCATTTTCTTGCTTGCCAAAACTTCAAGTTCAAAGTTTGAAAAAAGGGATGAACGGACTTAAGCTGGGGAGGAGTGGTGGTGTAGTGGTAACACCCACCAATCTACTCTCTCGCTGGTGTTTGCCAATTGAGAGGATGTTGGTTCGACTCACCTGTTGGGAGGTCGCGGTTCTCCAAAGTCTCAAGAGGCATGTGTTTATGCGTCGGGCCAACAAGCTGAGGAGCGGGTCTCATGATCACTTGATCACCAACTTCTCCACTACCGATTACATTGAGTATAGAAAAGGTTCATATCATATGACTAAGTCTTCTATTCACTACCTGAAAGGGGCCTCTCATGGGCACAACTGGCCAGGAGTTAGGAGTTCAATTGGCATGGACCCAGACGTTCTATAGGGAATCACTCACAGCATAATAGGCTCATGTGATACGGTCTACCACTGTCACAATTCAGAAGAATTTGGATTGTTCAGTTGCGAATCCAGGCATTGGCAAACGATGTTGGTGTTATCCGGGAGCTTAGAATCATGTGGAACTTGAGTATAGAAACATGTATGATAATTTGCCTTGGGCCTCACCCCTTCCCCTTGGTGCCCTAACGGGCAGCCTCTATGGGAAGTAAAATATCGAGAATTACACACACACACACGGACTTAAGCCAAATTTGATTCCGGGAAATTCAGTTTGGTACAATAAAATCCGCTTTTGATGCAAAGTCCGTGGCTCAATATATTCATTGTAATGAAGGAGTTTCCATGGGAAGTAGAGGTACATAATTGTACACTGGGTAGTGGTGATAGAACTGATTGAGGCTCGACCAACACATAGATTGTGGGGATGGAGCAAATTGCGGAGATAGAATTGCTGCCTATCACTTCTATTGACCTTTGAGGTTTGCTGATGAGGAGTGATGGATTCAAGAATTTTGTGCCTTTGAACTGGGGCGCA